GAGGAAGGCATGTTGAGCATTTCGATCAGGAAGACGGACAAGAGAAACGCACCAACATTCATCGGTGATCACTCTRGTCGGGTCGACTTCGCTGCGTTTCACTTCACTTTGTCTCTCGATCGATAGTCTACCTCCACAAAGAAGAATCTTGAGTTTTCTTTTCAATTTTTCTTCATCTATACTGTGGACATTATCTTTGGAGTTCTCTAGCAATCTTTGAAGGTGGCTTTTGTCTACATCTAATATTTCCGCACAATCAAGTATTTTGTTAATATCCAAATCTATTGCGGTATCGCATATTTTTTCAACTCGTCTGTCACCACTTTTTGTGTCTTCGCATCGTATTCTACAAAAATATATGAAGTGCGATACCAATATTCCGGCTGAATACTGTGTTTTAGTATACTCAAGTTTACCGTCCATGTCGCGCGAGATGATGTGAGATTGTTTCTTAATAAACTGATGGATTTCGTTAGTTGTACCACTGATTGGAAAGTCTGATTCCAACTCTATTCCATACTTTAATGCCTTTTTGCGAAAACAATCAAAGCGATCTTTGTTGGTTTCAATAGGCCCTTCTACCAATTCACGATTTACGTTCGCGATCAACTCTGTTTCCACTTCTAACAGCATCATTTCATACCCAAGCTCGAATACAAACTCACGTTCTTCTGTTGAAAGTGCCATCTTAATGAGCCAGGAAGTGACGGGTTTACCCTGCGAGAAGAGTGTATTTCCTTACCTCAATAAAAATTCGCGAAGGAAAATAACATTATTTTCAGGGTATGACGGGTTATTCAGTCGGTTCAGCATATGACTCTCTCGTGACGCGTCTAACACGTGGTATAGACCTCTGCAGCTTTTACGTCATGTACCGTATACGCAATGYATTGTRGGAYATGTTTGGGACAAAACATGGCGGATTTCTTTTGTTTTCTCTWGAAACTGATMCCACAATKYATTGMAAAKCAAGTAGTGACGTAAAAGGTTCAGAAGTCTATTGATTTGAGCTGATTTTAAGACGCTCTCAAGAGCGCTCACATAGACTTATTCTTACTACAGTTGACTCTCTTTGAACGACCAGTCTCGTAAGCGACCATATCCCTTTTGCGACCACCTTTTAAATTTCCCGTTATAATTGTTTCCCATATAAACTCTGTAAAAAAACTTTCTCGTAAGCGACCATCTCTCGTAAGCGACCACTTTTTCCTGATCCCGAGGTGGTCGCTTATGAGAGAGTTGACTGTAACTGTAGCTTTGG